TAAAATGCTGTTGAGCCTCATTTTTAGTTCCCTGTTTATTTTTTGTTTTTTAAAAAGCTGTCCTTTTCATTAATAGGAAGAAATGGCTATTTCTTTCAAATTTTCATTCTTCCAGTCTCATGTTTGGGTGCTGAAGTCAAGTATGTAATTTGGTGCTGAAGAGTCTTAAGAATACAGTTTTGATTTGGGTGACAAACTGGACTGCTAAATACTAACTGGATAAGTAGCACTAACATTTAAATAAACTTGTTATGCATCCTTTAGATTAGAATTATTCTTTGTTGACATCAAATACTGTGTGACTTTACGTCCATGTCAATGTAGTTTTCTTAGAAAGTGCAGAAATGTGGTTTTTGAAGGTAGTTTTCAATATCCAGACTACACTAAAAGCCTCAGTCCAAATGCTAACCAACTTGATGGTACTTGACTTTCAAAACCAACCAGGACCAGCAATTATTGTCATCTGCTCAGATTTCCAAAATTACATTTCCCGAATTTTCCCAAAGAAAACTATTTAGTGGTGACCTTGAACTAATGACTGATAGAAAAAACAATTCTCAATTTTTTATACAATGATACTATGCTAACATTTATTGAATGTTTCTTTTTTCTTTTTTGCCAACGTGGCTTCTGATATCATATAGTATCTCAGTGCATTTTTTATTTTTTTAAAAAAATATTTTAATATCTTTGACTTTAGTTAAGGATGTAGGATTCATGCTATTAGTGCTGATTGTCATAACTATAAACAAAGATATATCAGCATCACAAGCCTACCTTACCTTTGTCCTTTCTTACCCAGGGAAAATACTTTATAAAGTCCATAGTTTTTTCTCCTGTTCTTTCTGCTTTCTTTTGTTACTTTTTTCTGATTTTTCCTCCAGCTAGCAGAACAGTAGTTGTTTGAATAATTAGTATATCCTTTTGTGTTATGAACAGCAATGAATGTCCAAAGACACATATAAATTGGACCTATATGTTGGGGTTATAAATTGGACTTAAATGCTTGCTATTTTTCAAGCAATGATCTAATTTATACTGCAATATGATCATTAATATTACTCATAGATCTATATTCTGGAAAAGGAAAAATGCTGCTTAAGTCATTCTCCATTTCATTATACTGATATTCTTTACACTATTTCTCTATAATATATTAATATTATTTTAATATTTCACCTATGCATTTATAAGCTAGTAAAGATATCAAAGCAAGACAGAACTAGAATAATAAATCCAAATAAAATTGTGCTATATTTCCAAAACTCCACAGATGCAGTTACATTAACAATGATCTGGCTTTTTAAAAGAAGGAATAAGAGAGGCATATGTTATCCTTCCTAATTTCCCACACTCTGCACTTAAATCATTCCAGGATGGTGTATTAACTTTTCTATAAATCCTAACTTCCTTGAATACTTTTGAAATATTCTACTTTTCCCAGGAGCTTAATGAAGCATATGCATGAAACAAGTTTTACTTTACACCTACAATAATAACTCTGTTAATTATTTGGGCCGAGATTATATCTTTCCCCCTACCCTAAAATAAAAGAAAAAAAATCTGTACATTTTTGTGGATGAGAATAGCTTTATACTTGATCTTCTCAGTCCTAGTCAAAGCCTTAAATTCTGCACTGCACTGGTAACTGTGGCATTAATTATGCCAGTAATTGGGATAGGTTCTCTTCTTTATTAAATGAAAATGATGTCATAGTTAAGGAAGTTCGGATTTTAAGCCAAAAGGTCAACAGACTCTGTAATAATGTAAATATGTCTGTTGATCTTCAAGTTATATGAATCAAACATTTTGGCATGTTGTATGCAAAAAGAGCAGAAGAAATTAACAAAAGCATTTACATGAATGTGTCAATTACTGCTTTTGCGCTTTTATAAAATTATAATGTTGCATTTTCAACTGCAACATCAGACCCTTTCTTCTGGTAATCTGAACTTAGGTGGTTACAACTCATTTAGCCAGAGATCCTTCCTTCAACCACGGGTTTAAAAGAAAACATAAAATCATCTTAAAAATTGGTGGCATATTGAATGTGGACATTATAATCCACACAATAGAGAGATTATGGGACCATTGCAAATAAAGGCTGTTTTTTACCAACAGGTTCATTGAGTCCATTGAAAGCTCAACTTTCTCATATGAAAACTGATTGTTAACAGGTCAGGTTCTGAGATATGAAGTGTCCCTCACTTGCAAACTTCCAACTTTCTTCATTGTCCTCATTTGGAATATGTGCTAGGGAACTGAATGGACTCTACAGGATGTGAGAGGATACCGAGGCATGCTTGTACCATTGCCCAAGATTCTGTTTAAGAACAAAACTTCAACAGAAGATCCAATGTGCTAGCTTAAAAATTCCCCAGACCATCTAGAAATCATTTGAGCCATTAATTTGTAGGGAAGACCACCCTATTAGTTCCTTCATCCTTGCAGAGAGAAATATTATTAGTAGTTTAAATCTTAAAGGAAGAAATAGTCTGATCAGAACAATGGCTGGATATGAGATCACTCTTCTTCAGAACAGAAAGACAATTTTGCAAGCTTGTGAAGTTAATCAACCCTATTAAAGGAATTTGGCTAGTTGGGTGAGGCTGTGGTGTTATTGGTTAGGATGCATGTCCTTACATGCCAAGCGCATGCTGTAAAAAAGGAAGGACTTCCAGATAGAGATAGGCTGTTAGGCTGATAGTGTTAGGTTGACTAACTAGAAGGTGAAATAAATTTCCTCCATCAACTATTTAGTCCCAGTCAAATATTTTGGAAGAAGACGTAGTTGAAAAATTACAAGCAACGCAAATGTTTAGGAAGGAGAACAAAGAAAGTGAAGTTCTCGGGAGAAGAGCAAAACAGCCTATCTTCAGTGACTAAACTTCAAGGTAAGTTTCCTAACTGTGGGATTATCTGCACTACTGGATTGCCCCTCTTTCAGGACATGCAAGAAGCATGTAACAATTTAAATAGGTTTTATTTAGAAACTAGAAGGCAAGACCAAGCAATATCACCCTGCATTTGGACTTCACATATGATCTGTTGCTGCATTTTCCTGCCCTGCTTTCAAAGTATGTTTTCCTGCTTTTGTTAACTCAGGTGCAGTTGTTCTTTATTTTCCTCGAGATTAAGCTTTGCACTTTGATTGGCTACTTGAGTCACAGAACGCATTGGCTACTTCAGAACACAGACACACACACCCTTTATTTTTCCAGTATTTCCTCAATAGGATCATCTGCAGATTAACCTAGGAAAGACTGCTTAAAACCCAGTAAGAATGTTTTATACATTTCTGTGCATATAATGTAGAGTATGTAAGGTTTTATTTTCTCTGAACCACCTGTGTATGTAGTCCTTTTCTCTCCTCTCCTTTCCCCTTTCTTCCTCCTCCTCCTCCTCTCCTCCACACTGCACAAACCTTCAATAAGAAAATGTAACATTTTTTCAAATAAAGCTGGTTGTTTTTTCTTTGTACTTTTGTTGCACTTTGATGGTTTAATGTCATATGTGGATTTATTCTACTTTCTATAAATGTATTTTACATACATAAAACTTTCCAGTTATACTCATCCTCAGAAAGTGAAGCCAACGGCAATTGCTTTTCTGGAATGGAAAGTTGGAAGGCAAAGCTGCAGAGGAATTGTCAAGTGGGAGAGTGTGGTTGCCTTCAATCTGAAAAAAAATACCTTACAAACTGCTGCTGAAGTCTTAGTTCACACATAATTTTGATAAAGTGGCTGTTCAATGTTCTATGATCTGAACATACTCTAGAAACTGCTTAAGGATATACTACCGATATATCTTACATGAGGAAGTCAGTATTACCAACTATATATAAATACAAGCGGGATACCTGTGCTTCGCTACAAAACTATGTGACTGGGCTTAGTTTTGGGGAGGAAAATAAGGAGAAAAAATTCTGCCTCTGCCTACCAGCATCCAATGGTATTCATTTGGCTAGCATCTTGTCAGTGTGTGAGAGCACTGAGTGCTGTTTGGAAAGTGAAACAGTATTTGCTGTGTGATCAAGGAGACAGCAAGGAGCCTGGGCATGGCTTAGTTCAACTGTCCTGTACTAAAGATGCTTGCTGCTGTGAAACTAAAGCTGAAACTGAAACTCCTCTCCTCTGCTTGTGTTTTGCAGGCGGGGAGGGGGTATGGAACTCCTTAGCATTATTTGATCATTTATTTATAGCATTTAAAATTCAATGACTCAGTCACAAACTTACAATAGTTTAGGTCTAGAATCCTGACTTTAAAAAAAAAAATTCTCCATGCTTATATTTTTGATAGATTGCCTGGGTTACATTGTTTTCAACTGCTAATGACCACATTGGTAGTTTTTCTCCAAGACAATTTATTCCTCTCCCAAAAATGCTTTCAATTTTTTTTTCTAGTTAAGTCAATACACTTTGCAACTGGTTGTCCTTATCTTCTCTCTCCTTTTAGTTTTCCCAGCAATAAATCCTTTTCCAGAAAGTTAGGTCTTTGCATAATGTGTCCAGAATAGGATAATTTGAGCCTGATTATTTGTGCCTTGAGTAAGAGTAGATTTGTTCAATCTACTGAGTAGATTGCTCAGTGATCCATTAATTTGTTTGCTGGCCTGTTTATGATATTCTCAGGAGTCTTCTCTAACATCAAAGTTCAAAAATGTCAATGATCTGCCTCTCCTGCTTCTTTAAAGTCCAACTTGTGGAATACCACAAGGATTACTATGGCTTGTATGAAGGTTTAGACACATTATGACATTTGAATACCTTTCCCAAGGTCTTCATAGCTGCTGTATTGAGTGCTTCATTGTATGTTTTGATGTGTTAGTACCACTTTATAATGCCTTAGTAAGATCACATTTGAAATATTGTATCTAGTTTTCATTACCATGATATAAAAAATATGTTGACACTCTAGAAAGAATGCAGAGAAGAGCAACAAAGATGATTAGGGGACTGGAGGCTAAAACATATGAAGAATAGTTGCTGGAATTTGGTATGTCGACTAGTTTAATGAAAAGAAGAACTAGGGGTGATATGATACCAATGTTCCAATATCTAAGAGGCTGCCACAAAGAAGAAGAGGTCAACCTATTTTTCAAAGCACCTGAAGGCAGGACATAAAGCAATGGATAAAAACTAATCAAGGTGGTGACCAACCTAGAACCAATTTCCTGGAAAAAAAAAATATCAGTGGAATGACTTGCCTGCATAAGTTGTGGGTGCTCCAACACTGGAGGTTTTTAAAATGAGACTGAACAATATGTCTGAAATAGTGTATGGTTTCCTGCTTGAGTACAGGGTTGGACTCCAAGTCCTCCAAGATGCCTTTCAGCTTTGTTATTCTGTATTTTGACTGTTTGATCCTTTACTGTTGATGGTTGATAATATAAAGCTACCCACCACTTTGATATCTTCCTTGTGAATGCTAATTCTAGTTTTCATAAATTTGGTTTATTTTATATTTTATCCTTTTTTTCATTACATTCTTTGATTTTTATACTAGGGCTTGCAGGTCTTCTGCATTATGGCTACCAGAGTAGCACCAGCCATATCTTATAGATTATTGATTTCTCCACACTCCTCTTCTTCCAATCCAGCTTCCCTTAATATATATTCCACATATAAATTGAATAAATAAGGGGACAATGTGCAGCCTTGCACATTCCTTTGTCAACCTGGATCCAATCTACTTCAGCATATTCTGTCTGACTTTGGCTTTCTGACCCATATGTAAATTTATCATTGGGAAAATGAGATGTGGTGGGATTCCTATTTTCTGGGAACAGTTCCACAGCTTGACCTGATCATCACTATCAAAGGCTTTTCTATAATTGATGAAGTGCATACTGACTTCTTTTTCACATTTTTTGACTTTTTCAATTATCCAGAACATATTGGCTATAATGACTCATGTTTTTGGCATTTTCTAAAACTAGCTTGAACATCTAGCAATTTTTTTTCCATGCAGAACTTGAACTGTGTTGAATGACTTTAAGTACTATTTTGCTAGCATGTATTGTAGGTTATTGTACAATTGTGCATGTGTGTGTGCTTAGTTCCTTTTTTGATACTGGAATCTAGATTGACTTCCAATATGGCTATTACATCATTCTCAAGATTTGCTAACATAGCTTGGTTAAAATCTTGACTATTTTTTCTTGTGTTGCTTGCATTTCAATAGGTATTCCATCAGTCTTCCTATTACATAATGGTCAGAATGCTGATCTAACTTCATGTTCTAATACTAGAGGTTCTTCTAACTTGGGAATACAATATCTTCAAAGCTATCTCGGATGTTGACATTTTTACTGAATAGTGTTGTATACTTCTTCCATCTTCCTTTGAATTGGTGATTATATGTCCATTGGCATCCTTTAGCATATCAATTTGAGATTGGAACATCTGTTTGAGTTCAGAGATCTTTGAAAGACTTTCCCTGTTTTTTCCATCTCTGTTGCCATCTTCAGTGCCTTTATAGATGTGCTTGTTTCTTGTCTCTTCTAACAGCTCTGAAACTGTTAATCCTTTTTGAGATATTTGGCTTTAACTTCTCAAAATGAGCAATTTTCACAGCTTGTTTTGATATTCAGCTTGCTTTCTTTTCTTTCTTCATTTTTGGCAGTGCATTTTCACATACATTCTTAATAACTTTAAGTTCATTCCATAATTCATCTGGTTTTCTAGCAATGACTTTCAGAACTATAAAGCAATTCCTGATGTTCTTTTTGAAAATGATGGAGATATATGCAAGATCATATTAAACTTCTATTACTTCTCCTTCTTCCACTTCTCCTTTCCCTTTCCCTCCTGTTCCCTCTTCCCTCCCCCTTCCCCTCCTCTTCCTATTTTTCTCCCTACTCCCCATTCCCCATTACATACACTCTTTTCTTCCTTCTCCTGTAGTTTGTGATTAAGATGGAAGAAAAAAGTATTTAAATTGAACTCATCTTCTGGTCAATCCTACTTTTTATAGGATTAACAGAACTGAGACTTCCCATGTTGTAGGGAAGTGTACTATAATATAAAGTCCACCAATTCAAGTGGCAATGCTATCAGTAACTGTTAATCACAATGACTATCTAATCTTCAATACCTGAGGCAAAATACTTCTCACGAAATGAACATAAAAATGTTGCTTTATTTTTGACTTGCCTATACAGCTGATCCTCATTTAATGATTTTAATTAATTGCATTAGATTGATCCTCATTTAATGATTATTTCTTTATCTACCATTGTAACTTAAGATAGCACTGAATGAATGATAGTTGCAATCAGATCTCATACTTGCAGCCATTGCAGCATGCCCATGGTCACATGATTATGATTTGCAATCTTCAGAACTGGCTTTCCACAAACAAAATCAGTGGGGTAGGTGGCAGGAAGTTGGAAGTTAAGGTCACATGGCGTCCTTGCTTAATGATCTGCATGATCCTTGCTTAAGGATAGCCCCCAGGACTGCCAGAACTGCCATTGCCAAGTGGCATGGTCATATGGTTATTCAATTTATGACCATATTGTTTAGCAACAGATTTTCTAGTCCCAATTGTTTAAGTGAAGACTACCTGTATTGGATACTGCACATACCAGAACTGTCTTCGAACTATGACAATAAAATGATGGTTTGTTGAAAAAAAAAAGCACTCAGTGAAAGTAATGGATTTATGTACTGTACTATTGAAAGATTCGGTACAAGTTCAAACAAAATATAGACTACAATTACTAGAAGAATGAATAATATAATCAAGAATATTTTCATTTAATATTTTCACTTATCTAGAGGCCATCTACAATGTTAAGAAAATTAAGCATTCTGGAAAGCTGTAATCAAAATATCTAGCGGACACTTATTTAAAAAAGAAAATTGATTGAAATGCAGGCCCAACACTTTACAAGATACTGAAATATATTTTAATATTTTTTCCCATAGCAAATTGTAATAAGACTATTGATAGAACTAAGTGGAGAATATGAAGTCTTGTTTGAAGGGATTAAAAAAAAAACACCTCACTGATGATACAATATATATACTATGCAGATGGAAACATTTTTTTATACACTGAAACAAAACATTGCCAATATTGACTTTTTCCTATTTTGTGATTCCCAGTCTGTATCCCTATTAGGTTCCTAAAATAACACAGGCTTGGTTGGTGATATTTATTTGTATCAAGAAAACCAGTAGGATTCTTGATTAAAATACAATGTAAGTTCTGATTTCTTAGTTTGGGATTTGTGAGAAATAAATATAGCAGCTGCTCATCTTGGCCGAAATCCTCAGGGAAGCAGAATGCTTAGTAAAGTTAGGAACGATGCCCATCTTTGACAAACACTGTCTGTTGAAGTGTTAGGGCTCCACAGCCAACTGCTCAGTTTTGTGTGAATGACAACATGGTGGCATGAACATTTAACTGCAACTAGCAACAGACAGCACTGAAAGAAATCTTTAGCATTCACACTAATACATAAGCAGTGGGATTATACTCACTTGTATAGAGTGACTACAAATAATTGTGTAGCTGTGAAACAATAAAAAATGCTTTGGAATACATATTTTTACTGATAAAAGATCTGTACCGATTACTTGTAACTATTAGAGCTCCCAAATAATCAAGTACAAAATAAAAATAGAGGAACAAAGGAATTATTTTAATCCCATGGTTCAGCTCCTACCATTGGCTTTTGAGCATTTTAATTCCTTGTAATATTTTTGCTTGCATACTAATGTCTACATACAAAACCATGAACTGAAAATTTTAATCATACTTCCTTTCTGATCCCACGAAATCACTGGTCAGACTTCATGCAGGTTTTATGGTTGTACCATCTGGCATGGTTTACCACTAGAAGGCAGCAAAGAGATGCAGGGGAAAAAAACATTTGCCGTGATGAAGTGGTTGTTGAAAAGACAGGTTTGAACCCAGACATGGCAATAAACTAAAGTATGTGGATTTGAGGAGAGAGAGGGGGGGGGGGGGAAGAGAGAGAGAGAGAGAGAGAGAGAATCAAGTCTTCATAGAAAGTTTTAATGATTCTAAGCTATTCTCAAGGTAAGTAAGGACATTTTATTCCAAACAGAAAAAAAAGAAACTTTACCAAAAAACAAAACAAAAACAAAACCAGACTACAAAAACTGAAGACCCACAAGTTAAAATAGTGTTGTGATTCCAATGATACAAATAATCTTTCATCCTATTAGGATAATAAAGTTTCACAACTATGAAACTTTTCTGGAATGGCAGTATATTAGCCAGTTCAAATGTTTCCCTGAGGTATTCAGTGGTGTAATGATAGTTAATGACATATGAAGTACAAGAATCTGCATCTTTTTTTATTTGTTTGTTTTGGTAGGAGGAATTTCATTTAATTGTGTATTAAAGAATGAATATTTATTTAATCCAAACAGTGGGGTTAACATGCCAATAGTAGTTAGTGATTTCATTTTTGGTTGTTCCATCAGTTTGTCTCCTTTAGGTCTTTCGTTCCATCAATAATGATACTCTGTGTAGTTTTCTGTGTAACATCAAAGCGAGCAGAAGGCAGCCAAATTACATGTAATCAATAAGTTAAACATCCTGTATAATGTATCTCAGTTGTAAAGATGTGCATAAGTTCCTTTGTAATGAGCCAATTAATCCTATAAAGGAAAAGCAGAATGCCTACCTGAATAAAAATCCATAGATACTGAGATGTTTTAAAATAGTTTAGAGTAGGAAGCTATGTTTTGGGATTGATATTGTCATGTCAACAGCATCCATGACACGCAAATAAAAACACTCAGTGAGTTCAACATAGATATCATTTGACTACAGATGCTCATGTTTTGGATTGATTTTGGTGATGGGATAAATTTTATTTTTAAAATGTACAGAAGAGAAAAGAGAGAAATCTCTGTAATTTTGTATTTACTAAAAAAGAAGTCTAGGAATCCTTCAACCTCATCCCTAGAGAATTTATTTTTAAAAGAAAATATTGCATTCACAAAGAATATGGTTTTGGAGGAAGATTTTTTCCTCTGGTGTAATCTTTCTTTTTCCTTATATTGGGATAGGTAGGGAAGAGAGTGAAAAGTTGTCTTTCAGCATATATATATATATTTTTAAAAAACTTTCTTCAGTTTATCACAGCCCTCTTCAATAGTCTTCT